CCCCCCATGCCAATTTGCACTCGAAAAGGCTGTTTTTAGCCCTTTAAAAGGTCAAAATTTCTGAAAATACATCATTTTCCACGAAGGTGGGGGGCGGCCGCCCCCTCCCCCCGCCTCACCAAGATTTCTGCCACTGGTTGTGAACACATCTTGTTGACAAGTTATGAGATTTTTACATATGCAGTCTACACTAGTTTTTAGTTACACGAGGTTACAACTGTTTGCATGACCTACCCCTTAATTAGTGGACCTCTAGAGGAAACAGTTTAGAAGTTCTGACAAAGCCACTGTAAGTAAAAATAAAGTTAGTTTACTTTAGTTTTTATTCTTACAGGACATATTTTCCAACGTGGGATTAATATCTGGAGACCTGCAAGCTATCACAGACAGTCTGGACAAAATGATATCACATGACTTTTTACCTACCCTTAAAATGGGTAGTGTAGAGGCAAGGACTAACCCAACACAAGAGCCATCAGTAACTTCATGAAATTTGCATAAATAATATTTAAACCTGTTGTGTGTAAAAGCTAATTTCCACTCAGGAAAATTATTCTGTGGATTGGAATGGACAAGAAAATTTTTCTTTGTGTTAAAGTCATTAGTTCCAACCCAGAGCTTGCAAGACAAAGACCGTTCCAATCCACAGATAATTTTCCTGAGTGGAAATTAGCCTTGCTACATCAAATGTGAAAAAATACTTAATGCCATGTCCCACAGGACAACATTTAGAAACATTTTGCAATGCAAATTGCCGAGCCTGTTGAATTTCATGTAACATTTGCATTGCAAGTTATCACTTAAAACTGACCTGTGGAACATTGAATTAAGTGTGTATAAATGTGTTGGTGTTAACCATATCCCATATGATTTGTTCCTAGAACTATTAACTATGGTAGTATAGTCAGTAGATTGTGCTATTTTACCATCTTAGCAAGTTTTCACTTCAGTAGTATATAGAGTCCACTGGTTTTACTGAAGTTATCACTCCAGTGACACATACAGTCCACTGGTTTTACAGCCACAGAGCACCCATGTGTTGCTTGTGACATTCGTGAACCATGTTGTACCTTTACGCGTGCTATATATATTGTGAGATCAATATCAACCGCAAGCCACATGCTGTTATCATTACTTATCAGCATTTAGACAGGAATTTGCCCCGCTAATCAATTCCACTGTATTCATCATCTCATTATACTCCAAATCTGGACAACAATAGCATATCCTACCAAACTGAATTCCTAAATTCAGTTTATAAAATTGTAAGTGATCCACTACGTAGCCTTTAAAAGCGAAATCTAATAAACCGCGCTGACGCGCGATAAGAATTCAATTTGAATACGAGTTTATCTCATCGCCTACAGTTAAGAATTTAACCAATAAGAAACGAGATTTTGCATTTCAACTTATCCTAAATTATCTGATCTGACGTATGCACCCGGTCTGCAACTCATGATAAAATTGTTCACGAACTTTTGTTATCGATGCCTTAAAACTTTATTTCGCATTTTATTTTGTCGCATTGCGGTCTAAAAAACATCGCTTGTAATAACTAAGTAAGTACAACTTTACTGAAACTAAAACATTCCTTTTCCCACCATTTGAGACGTTTACGTAATGCTTTTAGCGAAACGATATCGCAAATTTGATCTACTCTTATCTTTTTGATGCAATGTGCGACTGCGTGTCGCTGGCTTTTAATAATGATAGCTTTCTATTCAATCCATATTTCTAGTTTTAAAACTACTCCTCTCCAAAAATACTTCACAAAAATGATACACCGCGTGGCTATCTCTGGTATATCTTTTAAATCTAAACACGAATTCCAGGCTTTTTGAAAGTCAGCTGTGGGCGTTTGTAAGTAGTCTCGTTAGTAGATACCTTGATTTTCACATTTTGCAGACAAAAAAACTCGCTTACTTTTTACGATTTTTCTGCAGAAATGCGCGATAAACGTACTGTATATTGCGTCAAAAGTACGTGATTGATCTACCCTGGTTTGTTTATGGCCAATATTTGGAATTATATCTGGTTTAAATGTCAATTTTGAAAATATATTGAAAGTAGATTGTATTGACCACTATGAAAAGATATTATCTTTTTGCGCATGTAGCTCTTTTTTGTTCCATCAGTCCCATCATGCACCACCTGTCTCTTATCTCTAGCGCATGTTGGGAGAAATCAAATTATGATCACTATCAGTAAAAGTACAAATCTGGGTGTTTTACGGATAAAGACTTGTTATGTCCCATCATAAAGTATGTCAGAAACTGCGCTAGATGTATGCAGTATTATTATAATTCGTGGAAGAGCTAGGACAAACTGGATTTCAGTCTAATCTGTGGTTGTAATAAACAGTGCTGATAAGGTGCGATATTCTCCCAACATACACAAAAGATTGGTGTAAAGTTGAGATAAGATGGCGAACGATAAAAGATACATCGAATGTTGATCCGTGCTGAAACTCTTATTTTTAAACCAAATACAATGTGTCTCAAGCTAACACGACTACAAGAAACGTTGAATAAAAAGAAAGAGTTTTACTGACTTTAAAGTGGTTACTTCTTGGCTATTTTTAAATGTTGCGCGCGAAAATTTAGTTGTGAGAGTGGTGTGCGACTCCTTGCCTTGTTTCTGGTACACAAAGACATATTAAAACAATAATGTCGGCACAGCCGACAACAAGCGCCGTGGCTGAAGGAGAAGCGTCTACGTCTAAAACAGGCATGTCTTTAGAGGAAAAAATTGGCATGGCTAAGAAATTTGACCGAGAAATGAAGGCAAGTTTTGCGACAATATAGTCGTCTCAATTAGTGTATGATATGGTTATGTTTCAAAAGCGTGTTTATAAATACAATAGATTGATGTTATGAAAGAAGGCTAGTTTCTGTGTTGGAGTATATTTGTTCTAGGTTGTACGAAGCTGGTATATGGTAATAAGGCTACTACTTTTGACCCTTTTAATATTGACAGAATTCTATTAAATTGTAGTCTGAATTCTTAGAAATGTTAGAACATCTCCAATTTTAGCTTTACATTCTGGCGTACCAAAAGGTATGGTACTTGTACATTTGACTAAAGTTTTATATGTGCAAGTGACCATACTTTTTGGTATCAAAGTTTTTTTTAATGTTTTTTGGTACATGTCAGAAACAATTAAACCACATTGTAGAATGCAACATTCTGTAAGCTGTCATTGTGATTTGTGATAAATTGTGTCTGGACTAGAATAAGATTAAAAACACTTCACTATAAAGGCGTGCATGCTGGTTAAAATTATTGCAACCATCTTTATTGGTGTAAGTGATTCTCAGCTTATATCATAACTGCTATGTTAGATGAATTTAACAAAATTCATTCAAATTTTCCTTCTAAATTTCCCTTCTTTATACCTTGATTAATCCATAATTGACTGCATGTGCTGGTGAATATAAACCTTTGGATGAATTCCTTGATAGACACTCAATGTAAAGACATTTATACTTCTTGCCTTTCCTAGTAAAGGCAATTTGTTAGAGAAATTGAACCAAATGTTTATGTATTAGATAATCCTTATGAATATGCAATCTCTTATTATACATAAGCTCACTATGTGCATGTAAACAAACAAATTGCACAACCTTGCGGTTCCATACAATATAAACGGGATGTGATAATTATCTTTTACTTGGTTATATTTAAAGAATTATGTAACTGAAAACATATAGGCACGCACATATCTAGAAAAGCAATTTTAATCTTAAAATAGAGTCAGGTCTGGACTTAATTTTTGAATGTTTTGGCTACTTCTAATTGTTAAGAGATTATCACTGCCTGGAATTCATAAAATTATTGATCAGTTTGCAAATGTTTAGGCATTAGACATTCTGAAATCAGATAAAAAACTGATCTTTTTTAAAAATCTTCACATAACTGACATTTTGCATAAAATGATGTCAAATTTGGATGCAATTCATTTGTGAATTCACTTCCAAAAATGCCAGACATTCAATCCTGAAGCTTCAGAAATATAGAAAAATTTGACCTCCAGATGCTTCTGTACGTCCCTGTCTGTAGGCTAGTTTGCATTCAAGAACATGTAAATCCCTGCATGATAATACACGCTCACATACACAAAACGAGGCTCTATAGCCAAGGTGAAGTAACTTTCCGGAAGAGTGTTGTACATTGCATTTTACCCTTGCCAAGGTTCATGAGTTCTGATTCAAGAATATGGTCTAACCTTGCTTAAATACATGTAATTGTATTATGCAACATGCTTTGAAACAGGGGAGGATCTATAGAGCCTCATCCACAAGGAGGGGTGCAGGTTTTCCATGGGGTGGTGCATGAGGGAGCCTTACTGATCAGTCGTGCTAATTTGCTATAAATTTGAAAACCAGAAAATGTATGGTCAAGCAGAATTTTTAGGGTGGCGCTGGACTTTTCTAGGGGGATGCTAGACAGCACTAGCTGGGGTGCACCCCCTTGCCCCCCCCCCCTTGCCCCCCTGGTAGATCTGCCCCTGCTTTGAAAAATGCGAAAATCCCCAAATGACTCCCTATCCTCTACCAGGACTACGCTAAAGCCACAGTTAAAGAATTCCTTGGTATCTATGGTTATGAGGAAGACGTGGATATTAACATGGATGAATCTGAAACAAACAAAGTCAACGAAACAAGCCAGGCAGCTGAGAAACAAACAGGAACTGAGCCCAGTACCACTACAGGTGAGAATCTTTCTCTAGGTTTAATTCTTGCAATATACAATTGTCTGTTTATAATTTCTTAGTCAAATTTGGGTAAAAATGCACCAGGCCTTATGTACCGGTATTTCATTGCCTGTCTGATCCCAATCTGCATAATTTCGAATTGAATTAGCAACATGAATTGCTGTGTAGTTGCAGTTGTCTAGGGAGATACCAGTTTGTTAATTATGGTTCACAACTGCATGTACCTTTGTGAAAGAACTGCTTGAGAACTGTATGTCGTACATATATGTTAGCTTTGTGCTTTAGTATTGTTTTTCTATGAGAGTGATGCAATGGACCTGCAGTTCCTAATTCAAGACCATTCTTCAATGCTAGACTGTGACAACCTTGGTGGCAAGACGCACTTGGAAAAGGCTGGACCTCATCAAGCAAGGGCAGTAGTAATGATTGATCTTGAAACCTATGATGCCAACGAGGTCAGTGAAATTTCAGTTACAAATGTTGAAGGCACTTCAAGAGCAGAAAATGGAAGTTCAAATGCTGATTTACCTTCCAATGAAATTCTAAAGCTTCCATGCCCAACAGAAACTTTGGTAGCAGAGATTGAAACGTCACAGTTAGAGATTGAGGGGCAGTGTGAGATAAGGATGCCGAAGGAATCACAAGGTCAATTACCTAGGGATGTGTTAGGATCTGAGAGAGAATCACAGAGTGAAATGTGTGGATCACAGTGGACACCAGGTGAAACATTAGGACCACTGGGTGAAGCATTAGGATCACAGGGGGAAAAACAGCCACACAGTGATCAGGTACCACAGCGTAAATTAGGAACATTGGGAGAAAATCTGGGTTGTGGGGGAAATGAACAATTGCAGAGTACTGAAACAGTACAGGAGGTAGATCACTCTCACAATGAGGTTTTAACATCACAAAATCCAGATAGAATACAAGATGAAACATTGGAATTACATGCTAAGTCTGTGTCCAGCCATGAGAGACTAGAAACATGTGCAGTTGAAAACATTCCTTCAGAAGAAGCTACTTTGACGTCTGTTCAGGCGAGGTCAGTATTAACTGAGAAAATACTAGAAGAACTTGGTAGAACAGGAGCTACATTTGTGTTAGTTGATGGTGCTTTGGAAATGCCTCACAGTGAAGCAGAGTCATTACCTGCATCAACACCCACACCCTCAGAAATTCTTGATGCAATATCACAAATCATACCTCGCTCACAACCTGTCGATGAGGGTGTCGTGTTGCAAGAGCACAGTTATGCCACAACTGGTAGTGCTTCAGTGGAAGCTAATTCTGGTCAGATCTTACAAGATTTAAATGTTTTGGATTCAACTAAGTGTGACATGCAATATGATACACATATTGATCATTCCAATGTTGATTGTAGTAATGTGGAACCATCCAGTTGCGAAATGGAGTCTAGTTTAATTTCAGACAATCAGTCTAGTCCAATGAACATTTCGGACTCCTTGCAGGATGCTGATTTAAGTTCAAGGAATGAAAGTAACCTAGTTCAAGGGTCAGACGATATTCCTTCAAGTATAACACCTGGTGGTACAGCCCCAACAGACATCTCTACCGCTGCACCAGGTTTAAACTCGAACATCAAATTGACTCATTTGCAACATTTGTCTATAAGTAATACAAACATCCTTCAAACTGTACAATCACAAAAGGTTGAGTCTGACACAATACAAAGATCAGATGATATTCCTTCAAATATGAGTCCAAGACCTAGTGAAATAACACCAACAGAAATATCTACAAATACGCTTTACTTAAGCTCAGACATCCAATCACCTCAACCCCCAGGCAATGTGTCTATCAATGATTCTAGTCTTGAAACTGTACAATCACATAAGGTTGAATCTGACACAATACAAAGATCAGATGATATTCCTTCAAGCATAAGACCTAGTGAAATAACACCAACAGAAATCTGTACAAATATGCTTTACTTAAGCCCAGACATCCAAGCACCTCAACCCCCAGGCAATGTGTCTATCAGTAATTCTAGTCTTGAAACTGTACAATCTCGAATTGCGGAATCCTGTTCATCGCCAGGCTCAGATGACAATTCTTTAAATGATTGTAGTGATCGTTTAAGGCAAAGAACACTAAATGGCTCAACTAGTACTCCTGGCTTACATTCAACTACCCAGTTTTCTGGTTCATTACAGCCTCCAACCTTTGTATCAATCTGTGACTCTAGCCTGGAAGCTGGGCAATATAAAGCATTAAGTTCTTCCATGGACTTACCTGACTCAAAAGAGAAAAACCGTTTATCGATGAAAAAGCACCGAGAGAATGAAACGCCTGAGAAGCGTGAAACAAGATTAAAGGCACAACGTGAACGAGCTAGATTACGACGATCGCAAGAAAGCGAAACTGAAAGAGAAGCAAGACGCGAAAAGGATCGTAAACGACAACAGTTGAAACGAACTAGGAATAAAGAAATGGAAAGTGGGGATATACAGGTACTTAGCGGGGATAACCAACCTAGTGAGGATATACTTCATACAGCTTCACAAACACTGCAGCCTGATGGAGATAAGGTAGAAGACAGAGGTTTACCAAACCCTATTTCACAGTCTAGTAACTCTACGGTATTGACAGCATCTACAGAAGGGGGAGAATTGCACTGTAGTTCTGTAGTTAAGCTTGGTGTAATACCGATCTCCGAAGATACGAATATTGTTCCGATTTCAGAAGATACGAATCCTGTTCCGATTTCCGAAGATACGAATCCTGTTCCGATTTCAGAAAATACGAATACTGTTCCGTCTAAAAAACCAAAGATGATGCAGGATCCTGAATCTACAAACACTCTTGTTTCATCAGAAGGTAGAAATGTCATAGACGGACAACAAATTTCTCCAGCTGAATCTGATAATGGGCAAAGTGATTTATGCCACAGAGGAGAGAGATGGAATATGCAGGGAAGAGCATCGAATCCAGCAATACTACCGGTGGTTACAGCAGATATTCCATCATCAGCTTCTGACTCTTCTGTTCTTCAGAGAGAAGATAGGGATGTTACCGCTAGTACAACAGCTGCTACTCCAATACCCCAAGATAATTCTAATGATTCAACTGCACCAGAGAATAAAGAAGACTTAGATATGCACAGGAAAATTGATCTCTTGAACAATCAAATACTATCAGGACTTACAGAATCTGCTCCATCTCAGACAACGCCTGAACTCTCTGCTTCACAAGAAGATAAAGATATACCCGACCACATGGGTAGTTCCGTAATTGAAACCAGTTCGGTTGGACCAAAACTTAGCTTAACCGAAGGGCATCTTGCCTTGCCCAGTGTTGCAACCGACGTACCGTGCGAGGGTGGTTTCATTGATGAAACGAGTTCAGCAAAACCAGATGATAGTGCAGTGGAAGAAGATTCTGGCGACGACATGGATGCGTCGAAGCTGCCTCAGAAACAGAAAAACCGCGAGCGTGTGAGAAAGCGACGCGCATTGGAAACTCCCGAACAGCGAGAAACGAGACTCGGACAGCAACGTGAGCGCGTTAGAGAACGGCGTGCGAATGAAACCGACTCGCAACGCGAAATACGCAGAGTCCGAGATCGGATAAGACAACAGATCAAGCGCACGTCGGAGTCGGAGGAGAATCGGAGTAAAAGATTACTGCAACAGAGAGAGGCAACGCGACGGAGGAGAGCATTAGAGTCGCCTGAGGAGAAGCAAACGAGGCGTGTGAAGGACAAAGATCGCGCAAAACAAAGTCGAGAGTCAAAACGTGCCGGAGTTGTTATGGAATGGTGGAAAAAATGAAGATATTATACCAAAACCGCGAATGTCTTGTCCGTGTCTGGTTTTCTTGTCAAAACTTTCAGGAATGCCAAACTATTATTACCTAATTTCAGCACAATATGCCGCTGACCAATCAAATGTCGCCAAATTGTCAACATTATATATGTAGTCGCATTTCTGAATGTTTTAACACGAAAACATGAGAAAGTTTTGTGTTCGTAGTTTAAACGGCAAAATTAATGTTGAAGTAATAAAAATAATATATTAAAAAAAGGTTTAAGATTCTTAATGAGCACATTGTTTCTATTTCCGTTGTTCCTGGTTATTTTCCAAACGTTTTCAAAGAAAGGTAAGGCCAAAAAAAAATATGTGGGTTTCCGGTTTCTTCTTATAAAAACTTAGGTAGGGTAGGTCGGTTTTAACTTTTTTTTTTAAACTTTTTTTTTAATTTTCCGAACAAGCGGACGCCATTTTGTTTAGTCAGTGCTTCCACATCCAAAGATAAATTTTCCTAATATTGCCTCAAATTTCAATTTTCCACAAACTTTTTCCTCTAAGTGGAAACACTTACAAGCATGATCCAATAAAAAAGTTTAGGGTCGGGATTTCGACGTCCAAAAGCTAGGTAGGGTCGGGAAACCGGAAACCCACATATTTTTTTTTGGCCTAAGTACTGCTGAATAAGCCGACGTGTGCACTTGTACCAGATAGCTTTTCGTAGCGATATAAAAAACACCTATCCGTACTTTTTAGGAACACTGTTTTCAGTCGAATTATTGCAACGGAGATGTTGTTTCGCTCCGCTTCTGAAAGTTGTACATTCCCTATGGGATAGGTGCTTTTTGAGCTTCTCTTGAGTGTCAATGTTGTTTTTGAATAGCTGGAGGGTTAGTGTCATACCTTGCTATATGACTACTCACCCTTCAGCTATTCAAAAACAGCACTGACACTCAAGGGAGGCTCAGATTGAACCTGCACTCATTGAGTGTGAGTGAGCTTTTAGAATACGGGCGTAAGAGTCAAGGAGTCCGGTAGCGTTTATCGACCCTTACCGATGTTTTTCATATACTTTCCAGTCTCGACAATGACGAACACGTATGAAGTGGAGAAAGGAACAGGGAATGATCGTCCAGTTTCTTCAGTCAGTATATCGAGTTCAACGACCAATGTAAGTTTTGACTTTCCACCTGTGTTTTAAGTAATAGAAAAGATTTGATTCGACTTTCACTACGTTTCACTGGTTTAGTACACATCTGATTTTTTAATAGGATATATCAAACGCATCTGATTCCTTAGTGGTAGCCAGGGTTTTTTTCAGGATTTTGTCTTGGGTCCGTTTTCTCAGAGAAGATTGAGTTTAGCTGAACAGCTGGGGTGGCTGCACCCCCCCCCCCCTACCAGGGGGCTGACACTTGTTCTCAATAAATGTAGTTGAGACGGAATGTGTTAAAGCAGGGGCACTAAAGGACACTATAAACTGGTTAAAGATGGAGAATGCATAGTTTTTCTTGTGTTGTGAGATGAATTCCAGCCATTTTTTCTTAATTGTCGGGTTTCAAACTGAAAACTATAAATTTCCACACGTCACGAATTTAACTCAAACAACTTCATTTTTACTGCACTGAAACTTTGGTGAGAAAATTGAGTTTCAAAACTCAATTCAAGATTGAGTTTTTGAGTTTCAAAACTCAATTCAAGATTGAGTTTTTAACGGCCCTAAAAAATCCCGGAAAAAACCCCTGGTAGCGGTATAGTGGAAGTCAAATCTGAACCTCTCTAATAAACAAAACATGACCAGCCGATTTGTATCTGATTTACAAGGCGATCCGTAGTGAATCAGATGTAGATCGAATGCGAATGATTATTACCTAAATACAAATATATATATATATATATAATATTAATGAGACCAAAGATGATCAAATTTTACAGTGTAGAAAGAGTGCTCAATACCATTTAATAACGTAGAGCAAATAATTTAATTTCTTAACTTAAAATATAGTCACTATATTTTAAGTTAAGAAATTATATATATATATATATATATATATATATATATAATTTAATTTCTTAACTTAAAATATAGTCACAACTCTGAGTTTCACGCTCAATGCGATCTTCAGGCGACAATGTTTAAATCTCAATAAAAAAAAAAAAAATTCTCGAAGTGTTGCCACCGGAAACAATTCTTGGCGGGAAAATTTGAACGTGCGCACGCAATACCATCACGCAAGTAGCCTAACGAACTCGCACGTAATCATACAGGAATTTTTTTATTGAGATTTAAACATTGTCGCCTGAAGATCGCATTAAGCGTGAAACTCAGAGTTGTGACTATATTTTAAATTAAGAAATTTAATTATATATATATATATATATATATATATATATATATATATATATATATATATATATATATATATATATATATATATATATATATATATATAACCTAAAATTTTAAGAAATATAGGTGTAGGCTTTTAATAGTTTAAATGGTGTTTTTGTGGAGAAAAAAGTATGCAGTATTGAAACGCAAATCTGGTGTAGCCTTCATCTCATCCAGGTGCGAGGTAGTACTAGTGCTATTAACGTGATTATCAGGTTGATTTGTAAAATAAAGCCTGGTAGGCGGTCTAAAAAAACGGTAGTTTAGACTTCTTGTTAGCAATATGTCAGGACTGAGGTAAAACTACACTTTACAATTAGGATAAGGGATGTGGTTAAACACGTAGACCCAAGATATGAACTAAAACAAAACTTTAAATATGATTTCCTGATATTTCGATACCGGTAGTATTTCATAATCACTTATCAGACTTGTAAGAAAGTCCGTGTACAGGCGTGTAGTCAGATACAGTCGCTGCTTACTTCACTGATAAGCGTACGCATCAAACACAATGATCTAAAACCATTTTCTCTTGCCGTTTCAGGGCAACGCGGACATGACTAGGTTCTGCATAACGATGAGTATTCCTCGCCCGGATTCACTTGAAGGCTACACCACCTTGCGTTTCTGGAACTGCATCATGTGCTCTACTGCTTTCGTTGGTACTAAACCTGAAATCATTCAAAGGGTGCATCACCCGCAACTTTTTACCTACCAGCCCGAATGGCTGTCTCACGCGGGCATCTGTAACCGCTGTCAGAAGACCTTGACAATGCAGGCACCGAAAATCACCATCTATGCAATCAGCGAGACACCCCAGAATCACCATGGTGCCACGTCATCAATACCTGGAACATCGGTACCCGGCGTTTCGGCCCCTGGACCTCCGATGCCCGGCGTTTCGATAGCAGGGGGTTCGGTCCCAGGACCCTCGATACCCCATGTACTCGGAACTTTTGTACCAGGGACATATATGACTGGGACATCTGTACCCGTAGTCATGTGTAATGCATTACCAGGACAGTGTAATTGTGCACACGGAGGACATAATTACGTACCGGGTGTTAGTCACCTCGCTTATCAAGGGATCAATGTTCCGGTAGTGACCAAAACTGAAGCAAACCCAGCAAGCACCGAGGCTGGTCATATTGCAAACGTGACGCAATATATTCCTATGACGTGTACGCAATGATAGACATCATTAGATTTTCCACTACGTGAATTTGTTTCGCGTGAAGCAAAACGAAAAACAAAATTTTGCCCAGTGGAAAACAGGCTTAGGTCGAGTTTATATTATAGATTACTTGCTTTTTAGATGTTGTAAAATATTCCTATACATATAAATAATAAATATATAACACATGTATTGGTGTGAGCCTGTTGTTTTTAAAAAGTTTTCATTGAATACAATGCAGAATAGAAATGCACGTTGACTTTATTTGTCTAGGCTGCAAATGAAGAACCAGGGCAATTTGCCGAGAAATCAACCAAACAAAAAGGTAAATATTCACTGATACCACTCTAATATCCATGACCTAATATCCACAAATGTTCACTGATATCACTCTAATATCCATGACCTAATATCCACAAATGTTCACTGATATCACTCTAATATCCATGAATTTGTCTACCTCATGACCAGGACTGCCGAGAGATATGCAGTGCCCAAGGCACTCGGGTCTCAACGACCCTGCCAATGACGACTGTCTAGCTTAGTTGTCAGAGTACGTCATCGCAATCGTTCAATTTTTCGCAACTGGTTTGGTCGAAATTGTGTATACATGTTCTAGACGGCCCAAGTCAAAACCTGTGTCTTTCAACGTTTTCATGGGACGAATACCTCGCAGAAACAAA